GGGATAATGGTGGAAGGATAGAGGCAATCTAATGGTGGGCATAGTGTAATAGCACTGCAAGAATAAAATAATACTATTGGTACCATTACAGAAAATACAAAATAACCAAAATATTTTTATAATAGAGTGGTGGATTGTCTTTAGCATTTTGGTGTTAGTGAAGGTGCAGTAACTTTATACGTCAAAACATTAACACTATTGTAACCATGTCACCTAAACTACAATTAAAGTTTACAACATTGTGCAGAGATAGTGCAAGGGTTAAGAGACTTGTGCACACAACCGACCCTAGTTTGAATCCCAGGCACTGTATATGGTCACCTGAACTGCACCAGGAGTAAGCCCTGAGCACAGAGCCACCAGGACTAAGCCCTGAGCACTGCCAGTTAGGGCCCCCAAACAAAAAATTTTTGTAAATAAAAATTTAAATATCCAAAACCCTTTGACTATGATTGTGACTCAAATTCAACATATGAAGAATCTAACTTTATAGAGCTGGAACCTATGAGTCAGTGTTGATTCTTTTCCACAAGCTTCATGAATGCTTCTCACTCCGTCACCAAGATCCATTGACAGAGGATCTGTTTGGGAAACAATTCTCTGGGCCAGTAGTTCTTGAACTTCTATGTTCAACAGATGGACCTAGAGACCTAATTAAAATGTAGACCAAATCCTGAATTTCTAATTCAATAAGGTCTTGGATGAAATCAGAGAATTTTTATTTCTAACAAGTTTCCACATCTGTTGCTGCTGCTGCTTCTGCTGCTGGGAATGCACTTGTGAGGTTACTTTGAGACTACTAGCTCAGCTCAGACCCAACTTCCTGGACATATGCCGACTGTGATTCATTAGTTTTCTCTCAATTTCAGAAGAAGGACTGATGCTTTTGGGCCAAGGGCAACACACTTGCTGGGCATCAAAGTCACCTGCAAGCTTTTTCTTTAGTTTTCCATTTAGCATTCAATTATTGGGGTTAAGTTTGTGCTTCAACCAAGATTTACTAAATCAATATCTCCTGAATGCAATGGGAAATTAGTATTGTTTTGGAGTCACTTGGAAGATTCTGATTTACCACAAGAAATGGGAAACATTGCTTTAGATAAGTCAGTCTCGTGAGTTCATGAATAACTGAGGAGCTGCCCTGAAATTTGAATATAATTGGCTACCCAATGTTTTTATTCATAAATATGACCTCTATTCATCTAGATTTTCTTACCCAGGTAATATGGTGTTTTTTTTTTCCTGTTTTCTTCTTTGGTTCCACATCATCTTATTTTAAAAAGCTCATTGTATGGTGGCAAAAAGTGAAAGTCTTGCAAGCACAACAGTTCGATATGAAGAGGAGAAAATGAAGATGTCTCCTCAAAAAATAAAACACACAGAGGAGAATTCATTCATCTAGACAGCTGAAATAAAATTAGGAGGAAAATACTAATGGTTTTTTACCAGACAATTCGTCAATTACACAGTTGAAAGAAACCCTAGGGAATAAAAAGACACCAAAGATGCTATTAAAATGTTCCAAGTGAAGCCATATATAATTAATTTCAAACAAGCATAAACTATGAAAACTCAAATCCTTTAAGGCGCTGAGTGAAAAGGGGGATAAATTTACATCAGGCTTCAAAACTGATGGTGCCAGGTGAGCCCATGGTTGGGCCACAGACAGAGATGATGGCACCTGCCTCCTCCCTGTTTTATTAGAAGCTCAAGTCTTCAGATGAGACGCTCCCAGAGCGTCGAGGCGGAGAAGCAAACACAGAGCCCAGCACTGACATCAGCATATCACTGCTCCCAAGAGACTGAATCAAACAATGGAGCAAACAATCAACACAGCGAACAAAAATTCACTGATGCAGAAGACCAGCTCAGGGAAGTGATGTGGCAAACCACTTCACAGGCTGAGTAACCACCATTAGCCCCCTAGTCCCTGCAAAGAAAGCTTCTTTCTTCAATGTGGTTTTACTATCTAGGTTAGGAGTTGGTAAAGGGCAAGGGGGTCCTGCCAAGGGAAAGATGTAGGCCTTTCCTGCTAAGAGTCAGACATTTGGTTGCTTCTATTTGGTTGCTTCTATTTGGGGATCTGAAATGCTCTTGACATTAATAATAAACTATCTTTGAGGGGGCTGGAGAGAAAGTATAGCAGATAAGGCGCCTTGCATGCAGCGGATCCATGTTCACCCTCTGGCATCCTATATGATCCCCTGAGCCCTGTCAGGAGTGATTCTTGAGCACAAAGCCAGGAGTAAGCCCAGAGCACCACCAGGTATGGCCAAAAAGCAAAAAAAAAAAAAAAAAAAAGAAAGAAAGAAAAAAGAAAGAAAGAAAAAGAAAAAAGGATATTTGATCATTCAGAATCCCGTCTTGTCTCTCAGTAACCACCCAAATGAAAATGAGACCTGCTTAGCATTCAGATAGCAAGGATAAACCTGTGTCTTTGAGTCTGTGTGGACTCCCCACTCACTGCCCTATCTATCCATTCTTGCTGGGAAAGCATGGAGGAACCACAGACAACATGGAAACAGGGCACATGGCTAGGATGCAGCCAAACGACTTATAATACAAAGCCATTGCTATGGACTAATGTTGATATCACCATTGCCAAATCTCTCTTTTGAAGCCTAAATTCTCTGTGTAGGTTGATGAGGGGCCTTTGGGAGTTGATTAGGTCATGAAGGTGGAGACTGAAGAATAGGAAGAGAGGGGGCTTGAATGATAGCACAGCGGGTAGGGCGTTTGCCTTGCACCCGGCCAAGCCGGGTTCGATTCCCAGAATCCCATATGTTCCCCCGAGAACTGCCAGGAGTAATTCCTGAGTGCATAAGCCAGGAGGAACCCTTGTACATCACCATGCGTGTCACAAAAAGCTAAAAAAATAAAAAGGTTAAGGTAAAGGCCCTCCTGTTGTTCATCCATTTGCTCGAGCGGGCCCAGTAACGTCTCCATTGGAGACTTTGTTGTTACTGTGTTTGGCATATCGAATACGTCACGGGGAACTTGCCAGGGCTGGAGCAATAGCACAATGGTAGGGCCTTTGCCTTGCACGCAGCCAACATGGCCGACCCGAGTTCGATTCCTCCACCCCTCTCGGAGAGCCCGGCAAGCTACCGAGAGTATCTCGCCCGCTCGGCAGAGCCTGGCAAGCTCCCTGTGATGTATTCGATATGCAAGACACAGTAACAACAAAGTCTCCAATGGAGACATTACTGGGCCCGCTCGAGCAAATCGATAAAAAAAAAAAAAGCAAAGAAAAGGAAGAGAATGGAGCTCACTGCTTTCTGCCGTCTGCTTGTGAGGATAGGAGCAGCTGCCATCAGCAAACCTGGAGGAAGGCCTTCATTGCTCACCACATCTGCCACCACCTTGACAGGGGCTTACCTTCCTGAAGAATTCTAAGTATCAAGTGACTTTGCCACATACTTCAGCAGAACAGAGGTCAGAGTTTGCTGACATCCACCTCCACCCATCCACCCACTCACCCCCACTAGTAAATTCATGTCAAAGCTAGCTCATGAGAGAATTCTCAGGTCCATGTGGATGTGGACCTGAGGATGCTCAATTCCAGAACGCAACCACTGCCATCATTCTATAAATCAACACTGTGGTGTTAAAAATGTGTTTGTTTTTTTTTAAAGCATTTAAAAAAAAACATCGCCTCAGGCCAGGGATATAACTTAAATGTTGAAGCAGAGGCTGAGCATGTGCAAGGCCCTGAGTTTGATCTCTGATGGCAGGCACCATCACCGCCCCCCCACTCCCCAACACTACTGTGAGTCCAGTAAAAGACAAATTTGAATAAAGTAACATGCCAGCAAACAGGCAGCAAAAGCATGATTTTAGAAATGCAAGTTTCTTGGGGCTGGAGTGATAGCACAGTGGGTAAGGTGTTTGTTTGCCTTGCACACAGCCAACCCGGATTTGATTCCCACCATCCAATATGGTCCCCCGGGCACTGCCAGCAGGAGTAATTCCTGAGTGAGTAACCCATAAGCATCGCCAGGTGTGACCCAAAAAGAAAAAAAAAAGAAGAAAAGAAAAGGAAAGAAAGAAATGCGAGTTTCTTATCTGAATACCTGAGATGGTATTGTCGAAGACAGAAAGAAAGAGCAAGAGATCAGATATTTCGGGAAGTGTTCAGAAAGTGGGCCTGACTTCCAGAGAGAAGCCGGTGCATGTGGAGTGGAACCCTCTTTACAGTTAGCACTCACGGTGCCTCTCCTAGGACTAGGTATATCACCCTCCTTGATCCTAGAGGTTTCTCATGCTTCTTAACTCACTAAATTTGCATTCTAAGCCTCGTCCTTCCCAGAAATAGAAAAAGAAAAACAAAACAAATCAGAAGTCACTTTGGCAAGGGGTTTTTATACCGCAGGCAAAAGAGATGACCCATGGAGACTGGCCCGGTAACCTCAGTGACCCTGATGCCACTGGTACATTTTCTCTAGTATCTTCATGTTAATCAAGAAACACACAAGCAGGCATTTTAATATATATAATTTAAAATCTTCGTTTCTCCCCACACGTAGCAAATGCACTTCATATTATTCAACTGGAAGTTTACTTCAAGGAGCAGCCCCACGGATGGGAAACTGCTTTCTATCACCAGGAAAAGGGTTGGCTTTCATGGGGACACTCTAAACTAATCCCAGAGACAAAGGGTTGAACCCAGCAGCCGGTGTAGGAGTCAGTGAGGTCCAGGAATCCTTTCAGTTCAAGTCCTGCTTTGATAAGGCCCACCTGGGCTCCTGCGACCACTAGTTATTGAAGCAAACTGGTCCTTCCGGCAGAAGTGAGGTCCCTGCACAGGAAGCCTGGAAGTCAAACTCTTCAGTCTCTGCCCATCGATGGGCTCGATCACATAACCACATGCGGGAGCATTTTAGATACCCCACGAATCTTCTACTTGGAGGTCCAACGTGCATTCTTCAGCATATGCCAGACTGGTCTTTGCCCCCAAAAGACGTTGTTCGTTTTTAGTTTGTGCTTCAGAGGGCTCCCCTGGTGGCTGACGGCATCAGAGCCACGGGAGCAGGAGGGCCCCGGCAAGCGCCAGGAGGTAGAGCCTGGGTGTGCTGCTGCTGCCGCCGGACGTTCTCTGCGCATGCATCACCGCGAATACGGCGTTAGTGTGGTTGGTAGGCAACTCCACGTTGCAGATCATTCCTTCACAGCAAGACCTACACTCCTATTACAAATGAGAGGGGCGAGAGACAGAGAGTGAATGATAGATAGGAAGAAGAGCGAAGCAAAAGCACGAACAAAAGAAAGCCTTCTTGAGGCTCTGAGGACAGGGAAGGAGTTGGTTTTCCTGCCTCTAAGTCAGTGAGGCCCTTGGGTACCCTTCCCCTCCGCTGACCCAATAGTAAGAACCATCAGAAGAGTCTTTTCATCTCCCCTTTGATTTATCTGTGTCAACCCAAGCACGAGCAAGAGGAAGAAGAGGAAGGGAAACTGAATAAGACCATTTGATTGAATCAACAAATCTTACAAAGGTTTGTAAGGAAAAACACTGAAACAAAAATGAAAAGCCAGGAGCCTTTGGGATTTGCCATTGATTTTCTTTCTAAGCACTGCTTGTTAGGAGATAATAATGTCTCTCTATTGTCTTGGTGAACACCTGATTCCTATCATTGCAGCACCAATGGCTTACTAATTATGGCTGCTCAGCGGTAAAAAGGGCTTGTTCCTTCAAAGCACAAGATTTCAGGGGCTCTCATCTCTGGAGGTACTGCCTACAGTGTGACAACCGGCACACTTAACTATTCAGAACAGCTTCTAGAGCAGCTGGGTTAAATAAAGTAAATCAAAGAATTTTTCACCTCAAGGAAATTATTATATTTATTTATTTATTTGTTTTTTTTGGTTCACACCTGGCAATGCACAGGGGTTACTCCTGGCTCATGCACTCAGGAATTACTCCTGGCAGTGCTCAGGGGACCATGTGGGATGCTGGGAATCGAACCCGGGTTGATTGCGTGCAAGGCAAATGCCCTACCTGCTGTGCTATGTCTCAAGCCCCGGAAATTATTTTTTAAAAGAAATCTTGATAGCCAACACCCCACCCTGAAGTTCTGCTTTAGTCTGGGGTGCCTTCAAAACACTATCACCATTATTTTTTCAAAACATTAAAAAATAAAATAAAAACAAACCTATAATCCTTACAAAGTTAAAAGTCACTGGTGTCACCACTACTTTTCTACATATAGGCTAATCAATTTCTAAAGTCTCATGATATCAAAATGGTTTTAAGAATTGTTTCCCTCAGACAGTTCAGGATTTCAGGTATAGGATTTCAGGTATATGCTGAAAATGGGTAAAATGCTCACTAGAATGAAAGAATGAGAAAAAAGTAGTTGATTGAGAACGTATCCACAGCTCATTAAATAAGTTAAAAATGGCATCACTCTTTCAATCTGTCACTTTCTCAGCTAAACAGAAGTGTTATATAAGATAAGGTTTTTGCAGTGGAAGGTGCCACAATTTTCCTCTCTCTAGCTTTCCTATTGATTTCTGGTGATTTCTGGGCATCAATAAATACAAGAATTGAACTTCATGTAGTGTTTGTCAGTCTCTCAAGGAGGTTTGCTTCTATAACTACAGAGCTGACCCCACACAAGTTCATCTAGAGTCCAAGTTCTATGGTCTAGCTGGGACCTGGGATTGATTCATTTTTGTAACATTTTTTGTTGAAGGACAGAAAGTCCTCAACTTTTCTTTGGTCTCTGTTTTATCACTGTAATTGGGTCTTTCCTCAAAGCATAGACATGTTCAACACATTATTGTTCCATAATGTAGAATTAACCATCACCAGCAAAAAACAAAAAAACAAAACAAAACAAAAGAAGCAGAACAGACATTTCACACACACATTCCGTACCGTATGTTCAGAATCTCGGCTATGGTGGCAGCCAACAAAATGGCATTCACTCCTGGAGGCACACTTTTTGGTGATGGATGTACTTCTTCCATGGCTGGTGAAGTGATGAACGGTCAAACAATACTGTGTATCTAGGAAGAAAGAACCTCAGCAAATTCATTTCTACATTGCAAAAGAGACTTTCAACAATCACTTCAGAAATTACTACAATCCAGTATGATCCATATGCAAGAAATTGACTGGTATTGAATGATTGTTTTTTTAGGCATTAGTTTTGAAATGACACCAGCTTTTGAAGCATGAATGTATTTTTTAATAAAACAAATATAAATGATCACGCAGCCGTGACCAAGGGGGGAAAAAATCAGTATTTCTCTACTGAAGCCTTAGGTCTAGTCATTTCCTATGAAAGTTCAGCATCTCTGTTTTGAAGCACATGTTCTATAATTCTCAAATAAAATTTAAGTTGAAAACATGAAACATAATGGGCGAGAACACAGTTTGTTGCAATATTGACCATTTGTTTCCTATAGATTAAAATGCCAGGTAGCGAACAGGAATGCACTTCAGATGATATAACTAGATCACCTTCCTTACTGGATTCTCGTTCTTGCTTTAATGTTCTCAAAGTCTTTGACTTTTCCTAATTAAAAAGCACAAACCCTAGATAATTTTTTCTCTATTTTCTCCTCTTCTTTAACCCTCTTTCACGATCTGCTCCCCTTTCCTCCTTCCAATCAGCTCATTTCTAAATATCCTTGCAGCAGTTAACTGTCCTCAATCACTAATGTTATTTATTAGGAATTTTTCAAGAAAGTGACTTCATTCCATATCCTAGGACTATAAACTTCAGTTCTTTGTCTCTTGTATAGTTTTCAGACCAAGAAAATGTTTCTTCATTGATTGAGAAGGGTATGTAGCAACAATGTCACAGAAAGGGAAAACTTGGCTAGAGCTGAGAATTTGGGGCCCATGTCTGCCTTTGGCACGAGTGAGCAAGCCATGTTTTACCCCTCAAGCTCATTTTCATTTTATTAAAGTGATGATAATAACTACCTTGGCTGTAACGCTGAGATAATAACCACAAGATACTGAGCATGCACCATCTGTCAGGTACTCTGCATGTTCTCACTTTCAAGACTTATGACAGAGCAGTCATATTTAATATCCTCATTATCCAGAGAAAGAAACTAAGGCAAAGTGATTTGCCCATGGTCACAGAGGTAGAAAGAGATGGAAGGCAGGATTCTAACTCAGGAGAGGCGCCAGGGTTTGTGCTCTTAGCCGGAGAACCATCCTGCCTCTAAGTTGTACTTATTATTCAACTGGAAAGTGCTGTGGCTTGTGCTACAGGAGGGCCGATTTCTGGATTCAGAAAGAAAGGGAACCACTAAGTGTTTTGGGGAGGCATTTCCATTTATCCCTTGAACAAAGAAGAATTGAAAACTGTAGCTGCATGTGTTCATATAGAATGTCACACATGCTCAAGCAGCCCTAGAAAGTCCGAATAAAAGCCAGGCTAAATAAAATAAGAAATGTCATTCTTGTCCTATCCTGTTACACAGAGAACCTCTTTTAATGACACCGACAGACCGCAGAAGTAAAGTGTACAGTGAAAAGGAAAGCTGAGATGACAAAGAACAATAGCTTCAGGCCTGTTTGCCCCCAGAAATGGTTGACTGTCATTCCCCTAAATAATGACAAGCTGGAAAGTAAGAAATTTAGCCTCAGTTAGAATTCCAGATGGTGAGTATCTCTGCAGCCTGACTGACTGGTTTTGTCAAGAATGTCCTGTCACACATGCTAGAATATAAGGTCATTCCATCTCGTTCTCCTTACATTTCTCAAGGTAGATGCTCCTTATCCTTCCCATCACTCACACTAGGGTTGTTTTGTCTATTTGTTTGTGTTTGCTAGCACAAGTGAAAGAAGAGGCAGCTTCACTCTATGGTTTCTACATTTGGACAGAAAATTTTGAAGCCCATAAATATCCACATGTGCTCCCATTAAAGATGGCTTTGATTAATGGGTTACAAATTAGAGCATTATGCATAGATCCAGTAGGAACAGAGTTGGTACAGTTTCAAAAACAGTTCAGTCAATGAAGATAAGAGGCTGTACATCAACCAACATTGACTCAGTTTCATGGAAATTTAAAGCAAACAGTTGCAGAATTATAGCCACTCTCTGGAATGAGCAAAGAGAGTCATCAGTCAATCAAGAAAAAATAATTGAAATAACTAAACATTTCATTTTCTATGAAAAATCAGAGACAAATCTTGTGTATTCACTCATAGAGCACACAATTTAAGATCAGGTACTATACAGTGAAGAAGGATAAAAGAATCTCAAAATATTACATAATTATTATTCCTGAAAACAATACAAGAGAGTGCCTATGTAAATGTCAGTTATTTGTGTTCATTTACACCAAATGATCTGCAGTACTAATGGAGGTCTCCAGTATGTGTTGTTGTTGTTGATGTTGTTTTTGTTATTATTATTATTATTATTAGGCTGGGTTTGAGCTCATCCAGCAGTGCTCAGGACTCTTGACAATGTTCAGGATACCATATGTGGGTGCCAGGGATTTTAATCACGGCCGGTCACATAGAAGGCAAGTGCTTTCTTCCTGTAGTATCTCTCTGGCCCTGGGCTAATATTTTTCAGTTGAAGCATAACTCGTTGACATTTCAGTTTCAGATGTATACCACTGTAGCACTGTCCTTCCATTGTTCGTCGATTTGCTCGAGCAGGCACCAGTAACACCTCCATGTGAGACTTGTTGTTACTGATTTGGCATATCGAATATGCCAGGGTGAGCTTCCCAGGTTCTGTCGTGCGGGTGAGATATTCTTGGTAGCTTGCTGGGCTCTCTGACAGGTATGGAGGAATTGAACCCGGGTCGGCCATGTGCAAGCCTACCCACTGTGTTATCACTCCAGCCCCTTCAGATATATAATAATCAACATTTGTAAACAGTGCAAAATGACTTCCACAATAAAATCTATTACTGTAATTCCTTAGAGACTTTCAAATTTTCAATACCATATTATTGATTATGGTCCCCACACTATACATTATGTCTCCATATTTATGTGAAGGGCTGGAGCGATAGTACAGCGAGTATGGCTTTTGCCTTGCACACAGCCAACATGGCAGACCTGAGTTCGATTCCTCCACCCCTCTTGGAGAGCCTGGCAAGCTACCAAGAGTATTTCGCCCGCATGGCAAAGCCTGGCAAGCTACCCGTGACATATTTGATATGGCAAACACAGTAACAAGTCTCACAGTGTTACTGGGCCCACTCGAGCAAATCAATGAACATGGGAGGACAGTGATAGTGACAGTGACAATGATTTATGTGAAACTGAAAATTTGTACTGCTTAATCCCCTTCACTCGTTTCATACTATCCCCCAAACCCCCAACTCCTCTAGTTAATATGCTCTTTTATTTTTTTGCTTTAGTTTTATTTTATTTGGAAGTGGTGCACTTTGGCCCACAATCAGTAACACCCAGCGCTAACTCTTGGCTTTGTGTTCAGAATACCATATGTGGTACTGGGGATCCAACCTGGGTTGGCTGAATGCAAGGCAAGTGCATTCACCCCTGTATTGGCTCACTCGCTAAGAATTCTGTTTCTCTCTGGCAAATACTCGCAATGTCCATTCATGTTTTTCATGTCCCTGATGATTAGTTATAGTGATAATCTGTAGTTATAGTGATAATCTGTAGTTTTGGGGAAAATGCTCGTTGATTTTTTTAAATGAATGTTTCATTTTTTTTAATGAATGTTTTAAAATTGAATTCTGTAAGTTCTTTGCATTAAATGTCAACTTATTAGTGAGTATATGATTTGCATATATCTTCTCTGATTCAGGAGTTTACCATTTCATTTTTTTGATGATTTCCTTCCTGGACAAATTTTTTTTAATTTCCTGTAGTCACACTGTTTTTTCTGCTTTGGGATCATAGCCACAAAACCTCATCACTAAGATCAATGTCTATGATTTTTTTCTTATATTTTTCTCCTACAGATTTTATGTTTCAGATAAATATTCAAGTTTTTAATCTATTTGGAGTTAATTTTTGTGTATGGTGTAAGACAGTAGTCTAACTTCATCCTTTTACTTATTGCTGTCCAGCATTACCACCATTATTCAAGATAAAGAATTCTATTTTTTATCTTAATTCTATTTTCTTCCGTCTTTGCTGAAAATTAACTAAATATCTATGCATGCGTTTGTTTCTAGGCTCTTTGTTCTCCATTAATGTGCACTATGTTCTTCAGTCAAAGATATGGTATTTCACCAGTTTTGAATGATGTACTTTGAAATAAGGGAGCATCGTGCTTCCAGCTTTGTTTTTCTTTCTCAAGATTGCTTTGGCAATTTTGTATATTTTTTCTGGTTCCATAAAAATTTTAGAATTATTCTATTTGTGTGGAAAGTAACACTGGGGTTCTGGTAAGGGTGGCATAAAATCTATAAAATATCTTGTATAATATTGATGTGTTAACAATATTAATTCTTCCGATTCTAGAGTTCATGATACCTTTATATTTCTTTGTATTTTCAATTTCTTTCATCTGTATTTTAGTTTTCATTTCACTGGTTAAATTAATTCCTAGACATTTTATTCTCTGATGCAATTATAAATGGAACTGTTTTCAAAAGTTTATTTTCTGATTGCTCGATACTGGTATATAGTAACATCAAATGTTTACATATTGGTATTGATTTCTGCAACATTATTGAGTTTATTAGTTACAACACTTTTGGGGTGGAGTCTTGAGGGTTTTCTATATATAAAATCATGTCACTGAAAAATAATGGCAGAGTACTTATTTTCTTTCCAATTTATATGCCCCATGTATCTTTTCATCTTGTTTACTTTTTGCAAAAATGCTCTGGTTAGAACATCCAACTATGCTGAATAAAAATGATGAAAGTGGACATCATTCTCTTCTTCCTGATCCTAGAATAAAACATTCAAAGTTTTTCATTTCAGAGTATAAAGGTAACTTTGCAGTTGTCATAAAAACTTATTATGTTGAATTCCATTCTCTCAAAAATCCACTTTGTTCAGAGTTTAAAATCATAAAATGAATGGTGAATTTTGTGTGTTACTTCTTCTGCACCTAATGAAATGATGATTATATATTTCTCCTTCCTTTCCTCCATCAACAGAGATGTATCATGTTGATTGCTTGGTGAATGTTGAATTGTTTTTCCACCCCAGGAATAAATCCACTTGATCATGGTGCATGATTGCTCTATTGTTAAATTTGGTTTACTTATGCTTTGTTGAAAATTTTGTGTCTATGTTAATCAGGAATATAGTCTAATTTTCTTTGTGGTGTCCGTGTCTGGGTTTTGTATTAGGATATGCTGCCCTCATAAAATGAATTTGGATGTATTCCTTCCTCATTTGGGAAGAGTTTCAGAAGAATAGATATCAAATCTCCTCTGGATATTTAGCAGAATTTCTATTAAGCCATTTGGTCCTGACATTTTTTTTGTATGTGTATGGAATAGGTGTTCGAGACTAATTCAAGTATTAGTGTTGCTCAAATTTTGCTCAAATCTCTTCCAATTTTCTATTTTTTTTATAATTCAGTCTTGGAAGATTAAATTTTTCTAGAAATTCATCCATTTCCTTTTAGTGCATCTATTTCTTTGTATCTTCTTTATTACTTTTTATATTAACTTATGAACTTTTGTAGTTCAGTCACAGTAGATATAATTTCTCCTCTTTCACATCTGATATTTCCTTGAACTCCTTTTCTTGGTGAATCTAGCAAAAGGTTTTTCAATTTTGTTTACCTTTTTAAAGAACCAGTTTTTTGAAAAGCTTCTATCATCTTTTTAGTCACTACAGTTTATTTCTTCTTTGTCATTATTTCTTTTCATGTTTGGGCTTCATTTGATCCTCTTGTTCTAGTTTTTTTAGGTGTACTATGACTTTGCAATTTTTTTTTGCTACTTGAAGTATACCTGTATTATTATGAACTTCTGTAGAACAACGTTTGCTACACCTTATATATTTTGTTAAGTCAAATTTCCATTTTCATTTGTCCATTTGATATTTTTGGATATCTTATTTGACATCTTCATTTCTGTCTAGCTGCTAAATACTGTATAGTCTCCGCATATTTATGATTATTCTAGTTCTTGAAAATTCTAACTTAACCAACTAATTCACTAAATAATAATCAACAATTTTAAATCTATTATACTTACTTTATAGCCTATTGTGCTTTATTTTAAGGAATATTACACATACATATAAAAGGTATCATTTGCAGACACTGTTTTTACACTGCTTTTTGTTTAGTGGTGGATAAAAAAATCCCCAACTACAAGACTGGTGAGATAGCTCAAGATCACAGACTTTCCATGCTCAAACATGGGAGCTTTATTTCCCAACACCACAAGACAGCTTCCCAACCCATCGTAGGCCTTAGCTCATATACTGGCTTTATCTGGAAGAAGTACGACCATTCCATTGCTTTAAATAATATGATGCTTAATCATCAGGGAGATGCAGATAAAAACAACTATGAGATATCATTTCACACCACATAGACTGGCCCACATCCACAAGAACAAAAGCAACCGGTGCTGGCGCAGATGTGGCGAGAAAGGGACCCTCCTTGACTGCTGGTGGGAATGCCGACTGGTTCAGCCCTTTTGGAAAACAGTATGTATGATTCTCAAAAAATTAGAAATTGAGCTCCCATTTGACCCAGCAACACCACTTCTGGGAATATATCCCAGAGAGGCAAAAAAGTATAGTCGAAGTGACATCTGCACTTGTTTGTTCATTGCAGCACTCTTTACAATAGACAGTCACTTAATCGCTCAACTTCCCGTTAGTCGTCGAGTTGCTCGAGCGGGCGCCAGTAACGTCTCCATTCGTCCCTGTCGCATGCCAGTGTAGCCCAATGGCATCTGTTTGCTGTGGAAACATGAAGAGCCTCAAACCGATCGTTCATGATCTTGATGAAGAAGTCTGACCATCTGGTAGGTGGGCGGCCACGCAGTCTTTTGACATCCCGTGGGATCCAGTCAGTAACAGCTCTAGCCCAGCGGTCATCTTTAAATCTTGTTATGTGACCAGCCCATCTGATTTTTGACACCTTGGCAAACGAGACAGCGTCCCTGATTCTTGATCGCTGACGGATGTCGGAACTCTGGATTCTTTCTCTCATTTGAGTGAAACATGATATTCCAAGCATAGCTCTTTCAATTCCTCTTTGGGAGACCCGAATAGCATTCTCATCCTGTTTATGTAGGGCCCGGGTCTCTGAGGCATATGTTAAATGTGTTCAATGCACAAGAGCCAGAATCTGGAAAAAACCTGAGTGCCCGAGAACAGATGACTGGTTAAAGAAACTTTGGTACATTTACACAATGGAGTACTATGTAGCTGTTAGAAAAGACAAAGTCATGAAATTTACATACAAGTGGTACTACATGGAAAGTATCATGTTAAGTGAAATGACTCAGAAAGAAAGGGACAGACATAGAAAGATTGCATTCATCTGGGGAACATAAAGTAACGAAATAGGAGACTAACACCCAAGAATAGTCAAGATAAGTACCAGGAGGTTCACTCCATGGCTTGGAGGCCAGCCACACATGCTAGGGGAAAAGGGAGCTCAGATAGAGAAGGGAGCACCAAATAAAGGGTGTTGGAAGGATCCTCTCAGGATGGGAGAAGCATGTGAAAGTAGACTATAGTCTAAATATGATTGCCACTCAATGCCTCTTTTGCAAACCACAACTCCTAATAGGAGAGAGAGAACAAAAGGGAATGCCCTGCCACAGAGGCGAGCGGGGGGGGGGGGGGGGGGGGGATGGATGAGGGGGATGGGGGGTGGGAGGGATACTGGGATCCATGGTGGTGGGAAATGGGCACTGGTGGCGGGATGGGTATTTGATCATTGTATAATTGAAACCCAAGCACAAAAATTTGTAAGTCTACAACTGTACCTCATGGTGTCTCACTAATAAAAATTAAAAAATAAATAAATAATATGATGCAGGGGCTGGAGCAGTAGTACAACAGGTAGGGCATTTGCGATCCCCAGCATCCTATATGGTCCCCCAAGCACTGCCAAGAGTAATTTTTGTGTGCATAGTCACGAATAACCCGAGTATCACCCAAAGAGCAATAAATAAGTGAATAAATAGATAATGCTAAACAATGCGGTGCAGAAATTCTCACACAATTCAAGGTAATAGCAGATCCAGACTGGCCAACTCTTAACTTGGGAGCTTTTAAAGCTTATTTTTCTTTACCTTTTCTTTTTACCTTTCAAACTTGAAGACATCATTTTAAAAAGTACAGTTTAAAATTTGACTAACCTAATCTTCTTATAGGGCCTAGTAGAGGATTCAATTCCAGATCATTCATCAGTGCATCTGCTCTGCTTTACCTCCAAGTTTATATCAAATCATTCAACTCACTGCACACCTCCCCGATTCCTATCACTGTTGTCCATGTCTTTTCTGCTTCAAGAGAATGGAAGACCCTACTAAATGTTTCATTCTACTTTTGTCTACCAATGATTCAATCTTCACAGCAGCTAGGGAAATATTTTTTTGTATTTATTTATTGGCTCTTGGGGCACACCCAGGAAATGGCAACAGGGAGAACTGGCCACTTCCACTCTGTGCTCAGTGGTTTATTCTCACAGTGCTTGGGCGATAATGCCAGGAAAAGGATTGAACCCAGGCCTTCTGCATGCAAAGAAAGCACTCAGCAGGTGAGCCCCAGACCAATATTTTAGAACAAGGCAAGTATCTTTTCTTCTGGAGCTTAGAATGCCGTCTGCCTTTCTATCACATTTATAATAAAATACAATAAAAAAAAAACGGGTTGGAGCGATAGCACAGTGGGTAGGGCCTTGCACGTGGCTGACCAGGCTGACCGGGGTTCAATTCCTCTGCCCCTCTCGGAGAGCCTGGCAAGCTACCGAGAGTATCTCGCCTGCACGGCAAAGCCTGGCAAGCTGCCCGTGACATATTTGATATGCCAAACACAGTAACAAGTGTCACAACGGAGATGTTATTAGGCCTGCTCGAGCAAATTGATGAACAATGGGAGGATAGTGACAGTGACAATAAAAAAAACCTCTTTATCTGAAAAATACTCCACATGCCACATCCTTACTGTCATTGGTCCTTTCTCCATCTATTATCAGCAGGTCATCTTCCTATTCATTGACTAGGCTAAGCCTTTACTCTTCGTGTCATACACTCTGTCCAGGTCGCCACATGGCTGACTTATTCTGGTCATTCATGCCTTACTTCAAACTATATATTTCTCATAGAATAGTCCCCTAAGCAACTATCCAAAACTCCTGCTCATCCCACCAACACATATTTTCTGACCTAGAATGAATGTAGTATGAAACAAGCACTGGTGATATAAAAGTAAACTAAACAAACTAAAAAGATTCCCCAATTTTTATAATGAGTGAATGTTTCCAAGCATCAAATATGACTTTTGAAGTGATATCATGAAGTACTTATGAAATTAATTTTATTTATTGCATTGCTAGGGATTCAATTCAGGTCAGGAGTGCAAAGTTTATGGCCTTATCACTGAGCTCCCTATCCTGGGTCACATTTTGGAAATTCTTAAAATGCTGCAGTAATGCTATAGTCTATTAGTTCTGCCTAATAAATGCTATTAAATAAATTCTTCCTCAGTGTTCACACAGCTACAAATTGAGGCTTTGCCATCAGCTTCCAAGATTACTCAGGGGAGTCTGATGTCTGTATATATCATCAGCCTATTGGTATGCAAACAACAGTATGTGAGACAGCTCCTCTCAGAGTTAGTCAAGAAAGACTTGAATAAGGTAAGATTACAAAAAAAAAGAAAGAAAAAAAAGAAATCTTCCAAACTCAGCACACTTACTTTGTGGACACCATTTATCTTCTGCCCATCGATTGCAGTTATAATTATCTCCTGCATTTTCACAGGTGAAACACTTGAAGCTATTTGGGAATGGTGTAGCTGTAAAAAAATGTAAAGTCAAACAGGTTTAAAAACAGAAAAACTTTTAAACATCAGCTATGGCACAAATTTAGTTACTTCAGTTAAAATAAAATTTATAAGCTATAATCTTTAAATGTTTTAAAGAACTGACTTAAGTTCCAGATTGAGGCATTTTCTTTATTCTCATCTGTGAACACCTGCTACAGATTAATAAAACAATTCCACAAACACATTGGAAATATCCATAGTATTGCTTGATTAAAAATTTTAATGGTATTAAGTGGAGGTAAGAGAGGACAGGCAAATATGGCAGTGATAGTGACCCCAATAACTTTATTATCATCACTGAGAACGAAAGTCAGATCTGAATCTGAGCTTGGATTCTGCCCTTCCTATGAATTGATTCTGTGATTTTTTTAACCTCTAAGAAATAATAATACTTACAATGATAATGATAATCCCTATAGGTTTTAGATGTGTAGTGAAAAAATGAATAGGAAGTTGGAAGAATGAGACTGGTAGAGTCCGTGGTATCTGTATGTACTTCCATTACATTTATATTTAACCTCAAGCAAGTAATCTCACTTGATATATGTCAATGATCACATTAGCTCTTGATTAGAAGCATGAAATTTAATCTATTGATAACAATGATGCTCTATTCACAGTATAATGTGAAGAGGAAATTTATGGGAAGCTGCAGTCTCAACTGAGAGAAAACCAGCATGTTCTCTTTTTGTTCTTGTGTTATTTTGGGGGGCGGGGGTCTTGAATTTTATTATTTTAATGGATAAAAAGTCAGAATAATAATATATTTGACATTTCTCTTTAGGTCAAGATATAAAGTCCTATGTAAAACTTTCAATTCTACCCCCCACCCTTTTTGAGAATAAAACAAGAAAATATCAAAGTGAATCCCAAATAATCCCATAGTTAGGATAATAATTAGAAAGCAATGGGTATTTTTTATATGTGGAAAATATATAGAGAGAAATATGAAACAACAGTAAATATCAAATGCTAAAGTATGAAGGAAATTAAATTAACTATTACAAATGGAATTCAGTTTTTTATGCGTAAAAATAAACTAGTTAGGTAAATAAATAATGAAAGCGACTCTACTAAATAAGAACAGTTTAAAAAAACATCATACTCAGAATGATGGTACAGCAGGTAGGGCACTTCCCTGGCATGTGGCTGACCCGAGTTGGATCCCCAGCATCCTATATGGTCCCCTGAGCACCATCAGGAGTAATTCCTGAGTGCAGAGCCAGGAGTAACCCTGAATACAAAGTCAGGAGTAACCCCTGTGAATAGCTGGCTGTGGCCCCAAACCAAACAAACAAAACCCTCCATCATATTCACTGTTGGTGGGTGAATAGTTAAAGTATAAATTAGCACAGTCTTTTTGATTTAGTAATTCTAATTCCAAGAATCTAATCTAAGGTCATTAGCCAATTGAAGAGGAAAACGCACTTAAAAAGATATTCAGTGAAGCATTAACATGAGCTTGCTTGTGATTTTCTGTAAAGTATAGGAAATTGGTTAAACAAGCTCCAGACTAGCCATATTTTAAAAATGAATGTAAAAGGCTTTTTACAGTTTAAAGCTATGAAAACCTATTTAGAACACAGAGGGAGAAAAATCTTCAAAAAATTAAATTTGTGGATCTCAATATGTCATTTTTTCAATACATACACACAGAAAAAAAACAAAGGAAGGAAATATTTTAAAATGTAAATAAAAGTTCGTGGTGAGGGATCAGAGTGATAGTATAGCAGGTAGGGCATTTGTCTTGCATGTGGCCAACCTGCGTTCAATCCCTGGCATCCCATAAGGTCCCCCGGGCACTGTCAGGATTGATTCTTGAGTACAGAGCTAGGAGTAACCCATGTGCACTGCCAGGTGTGACCCAGAAAGCCAAAAAAAAAAATAAAAGTTCATGGTGAATCAGAATTATAGATAATTTTTATTTTTTATTTTTCTCTATTTAATTTACCTATTTTTATTTATTTTCAGAATAATTTTTATTTTGTTTTATAAATTATCGGTCTCTTTGGGATACTCTGTAATGAATAAATATGTTTTCTCCTTTTTACTGATGTTTTTATCATAATACAGTGTTGGGCTTTAAAAATTCAAAATTTGTAAATAAACTATGTCTATGCCACGTCATTAAACTCTTAGTATATCAATTTTGAAATGTAAAATATGTGAGAGTTTGAGGTGAATATATGTCATGTATATGCAGGCAGTGTATAGTGCGTGATGACTGAATATCTAAATAATAAAGAAAAGATCAAGTAAAAAACAATGACACAGACCTCATTTAGGAGTAGTATGAAAGCAATTGCTCTCAAATATAGTGGTTCAGTAATAATATCAGAAGAGCTTTTGTTTATTTTTTAAAGAATTAAAGGGAAGAAGAAAAAAAGAAATATTCATTCCACATTCCTGAATAATGAGTGTCTAGAGAAGATTAGCTGGCATCTGGGGAATTTGCCATCAGAAAGTTTTCTTTAATTTTCAGATACTCTACCACAGTCTTTTACATTTATGCCAATTTTTATCAATAAGTATATCTCACTCATAAAGTATGTCAGAGAAATTTTACTTGTCTGAAAAGAGACAAAGGAAGGGACATGACATAGGTATAAAATAAAACAATAAATTTATCCTACAGACAATCACTTGATCACTTGACATCCTGTTACTCATCGATTTGCTCGAGTGGGCACCAGTAACGTCTCCACTCATCCCTGTCGCGAGCTAGTGTAGCCCAATGGCATCTGCTCGCTCCAGGAACACGAAGAGCCTAAAACTGATTGTTCAGGGTCTTGACGAAGAAGTCTGATCATCTCGTAGGTGGGCAGCCACGTGATCTTTTGACGTCCTGTGGAATCCAGTCGGTAATGGCTTTAGTCCAGCAGTCTTCTCCAAATTGTATTATGTGTCCAGCCCATCTGATTTTCGATGCCTTGGCAAACGAGACAGCATCTCTGATTCTTGATCATCAATGGAGGTCAGAACTCCGGATTTTTTCTCTCATTTGAGTGAAGCGTGATGCTCCAAGCATAGCTCTTTCGATTCCTCTTTGGGAGACCCGAATAGCATTGTCATCCTATTTTTATAGGGACCAGGTCTCTAAGGCATATGTTAATGCAGGAAAAACAGTGGAATAGAAGAGATGTGTCCGGAGCCAGAGGTTCTTCATCCTCTTAGCTATTTCTTAGATGCTCTTGAAGGTGTTCCAAGCTGCTCTCTTCCTCCTGTGCAACTCAGGTGCCAGGTCATTCGTCATGTTGCCTTCTCGACCTAGGTACACATAACTGTTGCATTTGGAGATGGTTGTTCCGTTGAGAGCGAATGGAGCGTCAGGAACAAGGCTGTTTCTCATAAACATTGTCTCTGTGAGATTCAGCTGTAGTCCGACCTTTCCACACTCATGGTTGAAGTTGGCCAACATTTGTGCTGCTAGGCACAAATTTGTTGTTATAAAACAATTTGTTGTTATAAAAACAATGCCATCAGTGAAGCGGAGGTGGTGTAGTTGCTGACCATCTATCTTCACTCCCATTCCTTCCCATTCCAGTCATTGCATGATGTTCTCGAGGGTGGTACTAATGAGTTTTGTTGAAATGGTATCACACTGTCGAGCACCTCTTTGGACATGGATGATCACTTCCTTGTAGAATAGTGAGATTCTAGTAGTGAATCTGTAATACAGCTCATGGAGGATCCTGATATATTGAGTTTGAACACCCTGTTTGGCTAGGGCTTCGAAGACCACTTCAGTCTTAACAGAATCAAAGGCCTTCTTTAAATTAATGAACATTAGACAGAGTGGCATCTTGAACTCCCAAGAAACCTCAATGAGCTTGGTTACTGTGTGGATATGGTCGATGGTGCTGAATCATTTTCTAAACCCGGCTTGCTTGCATGGTTGTCCTTCATCTAGTGTTCTGCCAATCCTATTCAGGATGACTCAAGTGAACAGCTTGTAGACAACAGAAAAAAGGCAGATCGGGCGATAGTTGCCAATGTTGTGGATGTCTCCCTTCTTGTACAGTAGAACGGTCCTGCTGGTTTTCCACTGGGACAGAACCTTGCATTCAGACAGGTAGTGTATGAAGAGCCAAGCCCGAATATTGATGAGTACTGACAGCAGGTTCTTCAGTTGTTTGGGTCTGACCTTGTCTGGGTCGAGTGCTATTCACTTCTTTACTGACAAAATGGTGTGTCACGGAAGGGTGAATGTTGGGAAAGACATATCCATCCTGCGGAATTTGGTATGTGGGCAGCTGGACTTGGCTATCGAAGAGATCTGAGTAGAGGTCATGGATAATCTTCTCCATTGCCCTTCTGGAAGATGTGATATATCTATCAGGATGTCGGAGGGCAGTCATCTTGGTCTTGTAGTTGGCAGGCATTTTGCTTTTCCCTGATTCTGTCACATCGGCCAGCACTTCTGCTCTTCTCTCTTTGAGGTCTTCCTTGATCGCATCTCTGCACTGCTTTGCGAGCTCAGATGTTCGCTTGTGGTTGCCTGAGGTATGCACCAAACCACGTTGGCGAATAAGCTCAAGAGTTTTTAAAGACAGGCTTTTTTTGTGGCTCTCTCTCCCTTGGCATTCCTCACACAATCATGGAGGTGCTGAATCAGTCGTTCATATTCTTTGTCAATGTTGTCAAAGACGACATCTTCCCATGTTGTCGCAATAGTGCCAAAGAGCTCCCAGTTGGTGGTCGTTCTGGGAGTTCTCTTCTTAAACTTTGCAGCCCTTTCTCCCCACTCTGTGAGGTAGAATTCTGCACAATGGAGACTGTGGTCCAATCCTGTTTGGAATTTTGGGAAAACAATGACATAGGTCAGGAAAAACCATTGATTGAATATGATGTGGTCAATTTCGTTGTGGAACCATCCACCGGGAGACTCCCATGTCCAATGTTTAGATCCAGTCTTCTGGAATTGTGAGTTACCACGGATGATCTTGGTCGACATGATGAACTCAGACAGTCTCTCACCCTGTTTGTTCCATTCTAGGCCATGGGTCTCGATATGGAATTCTTTGGCTGATCTTCTCGGTCCTATCTTGGCATTAAAATCACTGACCGTGATCTTGTAGAAGGTGTGGTCTTCTTTATAGAACTTCTCCAGCTCCATGTAGATCTTCTCAATTCCTTGTTCATCATAATTGGATGTTGGTGTATAGACAACAGAGATAGAAATTGCCAGCAGTGAGCCACATCTATCCAAGTGTAATCGTATAATTTGGGTTGTCAGGCATTCAAATGAATCAATGCTCATGGCCAAGTTTATGTTGACAAGGACACTGACACCACTGATGACTCTTTTGTCATATGTTCCAAGGAACAGTTCTGCTCCAGTGTCAAAATCCAGCGACACATCATAATACAATTAATACCCATCTTTCAAGATTATTGCACCATATTTGATGGGGTTCAAATATGGTTTGAACCATGGGAACACCTGCAAGGGTGATTAGAGGATGCCCTAAAAGCCTCTGTCCCTCTTGGATAGTCTTGCAAGCTACTGAGAGTATCCCGCCCACATGGCAGAGCCTGGCAAGATATCTGTGGCATATTCAATGTGCCAAAACCAGTAAATACAGTGGTTCTCATTCCCCTGACCTGAAAGAGCCACCAATACAGCAGCATTAAAAAGGATGAAGAAGGAGAGGCTGATAAAATCTCAAGGCAGAACTAGGCTGCCAAAACGAAGAAGGACTAAAATGATTGTCTGTACTTTCAATACATGTATGCTGGCATCATATGCATCCTTCGAGGACCTGATGTGCAAGCACAAAAGAACAAGTACGACATCATTGGTCTGACTGGGATGAAAAGGCATCAACCACATCATGCCTACAGACAATATATATTTATATTTTCTTAGCTTTAAATAATTAAAGTTTATATAATCTTTGCAAGGTTAAAAGTGACAAGAGAGGAAAACATTAATGTAAATCCAAATATATTCTTCTACAAATTTTAAATACTTTAATATGTTTAAAAATTGCTAACAGCCACTTGGTATGATATAGTTTATTGCTTAAGGCAAAAAGTTTCTTGAATCAATATCCTTCTCCAATGAAAATATCAAGGATAAAACAAACACTGAAGTTTCCTGTGCAAATTTAGTCATGAGGCAGTATTCAAAAATGATAGTTTTCACAAAACAAAAAGCATTTGTTAGCCAATCAGTTTTTTTTCTTTTTGGGTCACATTCAGCAATGCATAGGGGTTACTCCTGGCTGATGCACTCAGAAATTACTTTTGGTAGTGCTCAGAGGACCACATAGGATGCTGGGAATCGAACCTGGGTTGGCCACATGCAAGGCAAATGTCCTACCTGTTGTACTATCGCTCCAGCCCCTAGCCCATCAGTTTAACTATAGAATTGTATCAATAGTTGTGGCTTTTTTTCTACATTAAAACAAACTGAAAGTTTTTAAAAATGCAAAGCAAAATCCTCTATTGGAGGGAAGTGAACACTGATGGAAGGTGTGGTCTTGAAATGATGTACGCATAAAGCTCTATCGTAAATAGTATTGTAAACTATGGTGATGTAATTAAAAATAAATTTTATAACAAATAAAATTAATAAAATAAAAACTTCCATTGGAGCAAATGTTAACAACAAAAGTAAGAGTTTTCAAAAGACTATTTCACTTATTTATTTTTGAGGAGGGATTCTCAGGAATGCTCTGATGGTCACTCTTGAACTGGGTCAGTCACATGAAAGGTAAGTGCTTTGCCCTTTCTACTATATTTCTAGCCCGTCAAAAGATGATTTTGTTTTATTTCAAAAGATGAGTTTTAAATGTCTTTTTGACAATTTTTAAAATGTCTCTTTGTTTTGAGATCTCAGTGGGAAGTGAAGTCATTTGAAGCCAAAAGAGAAAATTCTTGTCACCTTGTATTACTCTTGCTCATAGAAGAATGAAAGAATATGTTTTGTGGTATTTTTCCCCCCTAAGAAAAGGAACACACTAGCAAAGGAAATTTACCATTGGTTAAAACAGAGACATAAAAATACTCACTAGGACCCCACAATTGAGAACTCTGATGACAACCATTACTTACGGTCAAGAGGAGGCCTCACATTATAGAAGTTGATGTTCTTGGCAAAGGCCCAGTTTTCTGAGATGATGAAGATGTGGATCACAGCTAGAGCTAGAGCGTGGCAGAGGGGCAGCATCCTGGCATTGGGTCTGGAAAAGTCCAAACTCATGTATCTACAATGGAAAGAGAAGTTGGTTGAATGCATTTGCATTTTGCATATCTCTAGAAGTAAATGTGATTATTATTCAAATTGATTCCACCATCTACTTGGCTTGTAAGGCCAGTGCCCATGAGCAAACTATATCTCCTATCTGATGAAAGTCAGCAATTACCATCTTCTGTTGGTCAGGCCTTGATGCCAGCCAGCAAGCCACTGGAAGAACAAGCCTTCCATGCAATAGATGCCCAAGCTGCTATCCATCCTACTGCCGCGTGAGGGGAGGCTTTTACTTTGTGCTTAACCATCTGATTGCTTAACAATCTTCTAAAAGTCTTTTATGCTTTGTTTGCCCTCTCACACCCAGCTGTGATCAGGGCTTACTTCTGGCTCTGCCTTCAGGGATCACTCCTGGTGGGGCTCAAGGAACCATACTGAGGCTGGGATTGAACTCCGGTTGGCCATATGCAAGTTAAGTGTCCTACCCTCTGTACTATCACTCCAGCCCCTAACAACCTTGGTTCTGAGGTATGTTTCATGACAGTGATTGAGCCTCCTAGAATTCCATTCCCAGTACAAAGATTCATGTGTGGTAAATTCTGAAACTCTTCTAAAACCTAGAAGAAATAAGAAAAGTGGAACCGTGAGTTAAGAGACAGTAAAGAGCAATGAGTCTGAGAAATTAAATATCTGTAGATCTCAGAGCTCAGACTCTCGAAGAAGAATCGGTCACTATAAAATGCCATCCCCACCTCTTTCTGTCATGTTGGATGAAAGAAGAAACTGTCAGGTTCTAGAAGTCACAGAATGATATGTTGTTTGAAACATTGAAAACCATATGCTAGTTCTGGCTCACAAATACTACTTACTGTTCTCACACATTTAGAGAGGGCTGAAGCCCAAGGAAACAGTTGTACGCACTTAGCATTTAGCATGGAGTTCCACTTTTTCTTTTTCACTTATTTGGGCCTGGGGACTACATACGGCAGTGGTGAGCAGGGACTACTCCTGGCTTGATGCTCAGTATTGACTCCTGGAATTGTTCAGAGGACCGTATGTAGTGTCCGCAATTAGAACCAGGGTCATGTCTGCATGCAATGCAAGTGCCTTACCTGCTATACTATCTCTCTAGTCCAAAGATTCCAACTTTTAGAAATTGACCTTTGCTAGGAAAATCTTCAGAAAGATGCTCAAAACTTAATAAAATACCACTACTGATAGGTCCTCTTTGACAAGGGGGAGAGATGGGACAGTAGAAACAGTACATAAACTTGGAGTCCAAAGGTTTTGCTGGGGTGTGTCGGCTCTAGTTATTAGCTGTCTGACCTTGAACAAGCTCTTTAAACCCTATTAACCTCAATTTCCTAATCTGTAAATTGGTTTAATAACACCTGCCCTGCCCACACACTTGCTAATTGTGAGCATCAAACAGGCTGATGTAGGATCACAAAGGATTATGTAGGATCACAAAGAATTGTGTGCGTGCAGCACTGGGTAACACAAGTTTCTTGAAAATGCTGGTATCTTGGAGTTCAATACCCTTTATTGAACTGAACTCACTGTCTAGTTCATCAACTTATCTCAATTTATTTAGGCAGTTTTTAAAAGAAAAAAGAGTTTGATCTATGCATGTACTGCATAATCCTTCATGGATACTTTGTTAAAAACGGGGGTTATAATATGTGAATTTTGGGTATTTTACTTCCTCATCCAGTGTTCTGAGCATATTGGTTTCCCATGTGTAGCTAGCAATATCTGCTATAGAAATGGAATTTAATATCAAACATATATACATGTATATATAAACATATATACATTTATATATATATATATTCTGTCTTGGTTCATTTTTAGAAAATCAACCTTTAACATTTATCAGAATTCTAAATCCTATTCTTAAATTATTTCTGAGGAAACAAAAATTCAGTCAACTATATTATTCTTCACAGAGAAGTGGTTTCAACAAATAAGATTTTGTACAGCGAACTATTCTGTATTCATTATGAATTAGGTGCTAAGTACTGGGTCTCCGTCTTTACATGAGTGCATATCCTCTGTGTGATGTAGATGAACCCTTCTTTTGAGAAACTTAAAATGACAGTGCTTCAACAGCAATATGGAGATGATGTCTAAGATTATTGATTTCCCCTTATCTACAAAGTCCTTTTTCATCACCAAGTAACTGTGGGGTCATAGACAAGTTGCATAAAGTCTCTAAGTCTCTGCTGCCCTAACTGAAAAACAGACATAAGGACATAGCTATCGCATACTGTAGAAGTGAGGACTGAAGATTCTGCATAAAGCACTCAGAAGAGCACTGAGCTCATGACTGCAGCTGTCTTTAGCAAACATTTCCTATTAGGCAGTAAAAAGCATTAGAAAGCATTAGATCAAATACCTGCTTCCAAACCTAAAATCAATAACCTTGCACAAATTCCTTAACCTCCTATGCCATAATTTTTATGTGTGTAAGATGGAAGCAATTGGATGGAATCATATGTCTTATTAATCAATTCACAATATATACACATATCCAATCATTATGTTTACTGCTGAAACTATAATGTCACCTGTTGATTATTACTAAAAAGTAAAGAAAACTGAGAAGCCAGAGTGGTAGTACAGTGGGTAAGGTGCTTGCATGCACATGGCAGACTCATGTTTGATCTCTGGCATCCCATATTGTCCCCTGAGCACTGTCTGATGTGATCCCTGAGCACAGAAGCAGGATTTAGTCCCTAGCACCACTGGATATGACCCAAAAACAAAAAACCTAGGAAATAAGACTGAGTTTTTATTTTGCTGTATTGTGCAGTACCAGGGATCAAACCCAGAACCTCACACATGCAAGGGAAGTGTCCATCCACTGAACTACATCTTTGACCCTATAAAGAAAACTGGGAACAAAGGAGGAATGATAATAATACACATGAAGGAGCACTTAATCTAATTAGCTATATACACACTATTTTGCTAATCTGTACTAAATAAACATTCACTACTATGAACAAATCCCCAATCAGTTTGGAATCACAAGTTGGAATCCCCATTGTCCTTAGATAATCTCAATGTGAGACAAAAGTCTGTCCATTCATTCAACATGTCACTCTTAGGAACAAGGGCATACCAGACATTTTTATGATCAGATTTCCCAAAAGGGTTTTGCTCTCAAGTGGTTGGCACTGAAGAGGGAGAATCGAAGGCAGTACATATGGGACAGAGAGCATTTCCAATAAACTTTAATGAAGGGAGGACAATGTGTTAGCGGTAGGGAGAGGCTGTTGTATATACATGAGGTGGTGAGCTGAGGAAGTGAATATGGACAGGTGGATTAATTAAATGATGAGAAAAATCCTGCAAAGAATCAATGAGAAAAGAACCATGGTCCAATGCTGCAGGAAGTGTTACTTGTTATGGTAAGTCAGGAAGCAATGCATGGGACTAGAACTTTTTAAAAAATGGGTAAAAGACAATGTCAGAGAGTTGAAGAGCCCAATCAAACAGGCACTACTATCCCTCACAAAGATCTGGATCTAGCAACATCCAGAAATGGTCTTTTAGATGATCTTTTTTTTAATTGAATTGACTGTAAAATACAGTTACAAAAATTTTATGATCAGGTCTCAGTCATACAATGTTCCAACATCCATCCCTCCACCAGTGTACATTTCCCACAACCAATATCCCCAGTGTCCCTCCCAACACCACCACCAACACCACCCCCAAGCCTCAGTCAATGCAGGCACTTTTCTTATTTGTCTCTCTCATTCTACTTTTGGGCATTAGATTTGCAATACAGATACTGAGAAACCATCATGTTTGGATTTTCTGCACACATCTTCGATCCAGAGTAATCCCTTACAACCATTACTGGAAGCCTGTCTCAAGGGCTGGGGGACAGGGCAGTGGGGATAGAGAAGGGACCACTATGACAATGAAGGTTAGATGACCTAATTTTGAAAACTACCAAAAATGTTTTGTCTGTGAAGTCATGGGTGCCAGATCCCTGGTCTTAGTTCTAGATTCTAATTGAAGGCATACAAGTGAACGTCAAATTATAGAGAATTCAGAGGCTCCATAAAGGCTTGTCTGAGTGTAACATGGACAACTCAAAACAACTGACTGTAAACCCAAGGGTAAGGCCTGTTTCCTCCATTCTTCTAACCAGCAGTGGAGAGAATAGAGTACTATCGCTATGTCACAACTGTGGAAAGTCACCACCATGCTCAAGGTCACTCTCCACACGCTCAGACAACCTCACACAAGAGAGGACTAGCCTCACCCAAGACAGGATGAACCTCACCAGAGACTGGACCAGCAGGAAAACCCAGGTACACGGGAACCCATGACTGAGATCTCCAAGCCCACTCACATCGGGACTAAGCCTCCGCCTCCCAGCTCCCCAGTTTTCCAGTAGCTTGGCAGTCACACCCACAACTGTCCCAAGTGCCATGTAATCTCATCCACAGCCAAGACCCAGAGACGATAAACTAAAGCTCCCAGAAGAAAGCACCACAGAATTTCCTAGAGCACGTGGCCACTCTTGTGGCCGTGCAATCTCTTACATTCTACCTCACTTACTTATCAAAAGTATCACACATTTGTTTCGTTTCTAACATACTTGCTTGTATTCTCTTATATTCTGGGTTAAATGGCTCCAGAATGAAATGCAACAATCTTCACAGACAAAACACAAAGCAAAACAAAATAAACAAACACACACAAAAAACTGTGGAAAGAGAGGGTCAGAAGTGAGAGTTTGAGGCCACTCCCACAGTTGCCTAAAACCTAGTGTTCCCAAAACATTCCCACACATCCTGTTCTAGCCTACTGAGTTCGAAAGCAAGTGCAAAAGAAACCAAAAAAATGCCGCTTCCATATACTTTAGAATGTTTTCTCTTTCATTTTTAACCCAAAAAAACTAGCCTTATTTCATCAAAACTCCTCCAAAAATTGCAAAGGTTTTTACCTGTCAATTGAGAAAAACACCAAATAAAAACGTCTCATTTTTCCAGA